AGAGAGAGAGAGAGAGAGAGAGAGAGAGAGAGAGAGAGAGAGGAAGCGAGAAGAAAGTCTGGTTTTAGAAAGCTGAGTTTCGATCTTCGACTCGTGTCTAATTCTTCTAATTGAAAGAAGCGAAATGAACAAGAAGCGGTCCGTTCAAATCAGATTTCAATTAATGAATTTTTCAATGAAATCTTCTCGGTTTTTATCCTCGGTCGTATCATCGTTAAAAATTAATTTGTATTCTTTTTTAAAATACATCTATAAACGAAACGAGAGATCCGTCATACACAAAATTATTTCCTTCGAGATTAAATTTTTCAGGAGCGAGGAAAAATTTTTTCATCTTGTCTAATATTATTTCCTTCCTATTTCAATCTAAAAACAAAAGCATCAAGCATCGAAAAATATACAGACTCTATATATATATATTTCGATCTAAAGATCAAAACTTCATCGTTTTCAAGCGATGTCCCAAACAATATCAACAAACAGCCTAACCTTTCTTCGTTTTTTCGATCTAAAAATAAAATCTCCATCGATTCCCCCCAAACTTTTCACACTTTCGAATACCTCTGAAATAATTTTATTCTTATTCTCTAAAAGAAAAAAAACAGACGCTCGTCCCCAAGTTTTCCTCCAAGAAAAAAGGAGAGTGAAATATCCGGAGGAGGAGGGCGGGAAGAAAACTTACAGGATCGAAGACTAGCATCTGGCAGAGCAAATGGACGGCCTCGTGCGTCGCCTGGCTGCTAAGGGTGTAGAGAGCCGTCAACGAGGGTGGCTTGGGCGCGCGCCTCAGCATGTGGGATCTCGCACCCTCGCACGCGAACCTCATGTCCTCGAGGGTTGGCGTGCCCAGCAATTCTGTGATCAGTTCCAGCTGCAAAGCGAATGAAAACGTGCTCCATTTTAAAATATCCGCTCTCCCCTTTCGACGGTGCATCAGGAAAATTTATCTCCCTGCCAATCCTCCATTTCTCTTTTTCTTAACGACTCTCCTCCAGACATTTTATCGGAATAAAATTTCGCTTATTTTCTTTTAAATATCGAAGATGCATTAAATTATCGACTCAGAGATATATCTTTCATGGTGCGTCGATGGTGGGGAAGACTTACCTGTTGCACGGGGCTCTGCGCCTGGAAAAGGATCCTGCGACGAAGGAGCTCCCCGAAAATGCAACCGACGCTCCAAACGTCCACGGCGGCCGTGTAGTGTCGCGCCCCCATCAGGATTTCCGGTGCGCGATAATACTGCGTCACCACTTCCTGGGTCATGTGCTTGTTCTGATCCGGCTCCTCGACTCGGGCCAGGCCGAAGTCGCAGATCTGTTCGCCAACAACAACGTGTAATTTTCTCGTTCTCTCGTGTTAAGGAAGAGAGAGACCACCAACTCCTTCCTCCCTTATTCTTTCTTTCTTCCTTCCTCTTACGTGGAATAACGAGCGAGAGAAGGAAGGCTTTGAAAGAAGAGGGTTGAATCTTACCTTCAACACGCAATTGCTGTTCACGAGTAAGTTGCCTGGCTTGATGTCCCTGTGCAGGATTCTGGCCGAGTGAAGGTACTTGAGGCCTGGAAACGGAAAACAAATTCATTGGCTTCCTCCGAGATTCCAAGACTTTTTACCAATCCTTTCGAAGCAAAATCTTGAATTCTTAGATTCCGAGATTCGCAAATTAGAAGAAGAAACTAGTTGTGGGAATCTTTCGAAATTCCTACGTTTTCCGATTTCTGAGGTACCGAATTTCCAGCTTGCTCGATACCCCGCCAACAACTATCCCCAACTATCCAAATTAAATTTCCGATCCCCGAAAACTCTAAAATTCCCCGATCTTTCCCCCATATGTTTCAAACCCTCTCGAAATTCCTTGGAAAGCTCGGCGCTCGGTAAACCGGAGGCCACGTTCCAAGACGATCAAACTTTGCGGCGGCGAGCCATTATTATCGTTCCTCTAAAACCTGGAAAGACAAGGATCGTTGCTCGCGTCGAAACGCGCGACCTCGATTTTCACGAAATTCCTCCCAGATCGTTAGAGCCCTCTTCACTCCGCTCGGCAAATCTGCATACATTCACCGGAGAGATCCATCCATCGAAGATGTTCTCTCTCCAATCCGCGGCTATTATTCGCTACTTTCGTTCCGAACACGTGTCTTTTCACGCGTTGTTAACCCGATAATCATCGTAGCCAGTTTTTTTCTTACGAACGATGAAGAACCCGTCGATTATTCGTATTTCGTTAAAAAAGGGAAAAGAAGGAATCGAAGGAAAGGCAGAGGATAACTGCTAACTAATTAAGTTAGGTCGATGACGATTCCTCACTCTTGAACATATTTACTGGTTATATTTTTGTTTCGAACACTCGTATCGATTGTAATATAACGCGTTTACGAGTTCGATTATTACGAGCGGATATATGTACTTTCAATATATACTCGTCGTATACGGAATAGAGATTTGAAAATGGATATGTTTTAATAATGGGATGAATGTGCGGTTTGGATTATATATTTGGAAACCAGATTCGTTACTTTTCGCGACAATAATTATCAATTTACGATATTATTGCATTTATTGCCTCCGATTATTATATCTCGGATGCTTTCGATTCGTCGAATAAACGAGTGGAGATACGAATGCGGTGCTCGATCGACGTGCTCCACGATGGCTCGTGGAAACGGGATTAAACGGGATTATTAACATTTTATTGAACGTTGGGATAAGTGGAATAAGTCGGGTCGTGTACCCCTAAGTGTTCGTCAAATCGACGACAAATTGCATCGAAATCGCGGAACGTCCTTGGTCGATGGTAATTTCGCGCGAGCCGAAAACCTGTTTTAAATTGAAATCCGGATCGAGCGAGAAACCTGTCCTTATTATCGGAAGATGGAGGAATAAAGGAAAACAAGAAGAAGGATCCTAGAAGGATGCTTCCGAGATTTTTATATACAATTCCGTTCCTTTCATCTCCACTCGAGAATAACGAACTTCTACGAAATTAATTTTTAACGAGTCTCCTCACGAATTATATCCGTTTACACAGATTTCCAAGCTTTCGAGATTTATACAGTTTTCAGATTTCCAAATTTTCTCTCCATCCTCTATATTTACAAATTTTTTCGATTTAATATCATCGTCATCGATCGAAGGGAAGATCGATTATTGACGCCAAGTTGCAGCGTCGCAGTTTATACAATTTTCACATTCACAAATTTTCTTTCTAAATTTACAAATTTTCCTTCTTTGCATAACTTTCCCAAATTTTCTCTCTAAATTTACAAATATTTCCTTTTTGCATTATTACCATCGATTTAATATC